CGCGCCCCCCCCGCCCGCCGCCCCCCTGCCGCAGACACAGGGGTACTACTGCTCCGGGCTCCCGCGGACGCCCTACCCTGCGGAGTCCACGGGCATGTACCGGCCCCCGTCGCCCGCTCCCCCCTGGAGCTACGCCCCGCCGGACTGCCCCGCCGAAGGGTCCTCTCTCAGGAGGCAGCAGGTTCCTGGCTACTCCCCACCGCAGGTAAGAGGCCAGGCACCGGCCACAGCAATTTCCAGCCCCGGCAGCCCCTGGTGTCGGTGCAGCTGCTGGGCTTGAAGTTCCCGCAGCAGGAGAAGTTGTTTTATGGGGCCCCAGTGGTGGAGGGAAAGCCCACGGTGCCTCCTCCGATGGATCCATGGATCCTAATGGCTGTTGTGCCTTGGGCAGCTTGCCCTGCCTGGTTTTATTCTTATAAAAACTGCTGGTCACCCCGTTCTCCAGAGAATCCAAGCTTGGGGGCTAGGAAAGCAGGAATCGGGCAGCAAGCCTGATGCCGCGGCTGTTCCCAGGGCTGTCTGGAGGGAGCGGTGCTGGGAATGACTCCAGGGGTTATGTCTGTTCCCCCTCTTGCAGACCCCGGGAATGCCCATCCCACAGTATCCATACGGAGACAACAATCCAGGGGTCACGCCGCAGGGGCCTCCGCCGCAGCCCAGACCCCTGGAAGACACGTGGGCTCCCCCCACCGTCTATGGGGTGCAGCCGCGTTACGCGTGGCCCGCTGCTTCGGCACACGGGAACCCGTTCGTCTCCGATTCGCACCCATCCTGGACTGGCAGCGGAGCTCCTTCCCACCCTCCGGCGTGGGACTCAAAGGTACAGCTGATGCTTCTACAGCACGTGCCTGGGCTGGGTCCTGGCTGCGGTCAGACCTCCTAGATCATACAGCTCTCCTCAAAGCTTGCCTCCGTCTCCTGGGAATGCCCCTTTCTCCAAGCACACTCAGTTTAGGTAGAAACAAAGCAGCAGGTATCCGGAGTACTGCCGGCAAAATCTCCTGTTTGCATACAGAAAGCCAAAATCCACGGCTGTAATTCCAGAAAGGTACTGGAGATACCAGACGTCCCAGGGCAGGTCTTGGAACGGGT